AGATTTGTTAAATTATTTATCTGCATCAGGGCCGGCCTTAGGTAGGAGGAGGCCCTAGGCAAAGGAAATTTGGTGTCTCCAAGAGACATTAATGTTTTCTATATAATATAATTTCATAATTTATACTTTAAATAATTTCTGCTGCATTTGGTAAACTGCAAATAAGAAAAAATTCAATAGAAAACATTCAATATTGAAATCAATTCAGGTACACGCACAGATTTGGGTTTGAAGTATTTAATGGAAAAGTCGTTCAACAGTGGCGGCAGGCCGTTGCAGCAAGGTATTCCAAGAATTGGCATCGTATTAACTGATGGACAGTCAAACAATCCAGCTGAAACTATAAAGGTCTCAAAGGAACTGCGTAAAAGTGATATCACAATGATCGCTATCGGTATCGGGAATGCAAACATTAAGGAAATCACAGAAATAGCATCTCCTCCCGCTTGCAAAAACGTTTACCATTTAAAAACCTTCTCAGATCTTGACCACATCAGAAACAGCATCCATCAAAAATTCTGCAAAGGTCAATATAAATTATTATTTCCAACTCACTTTATATTTTAATTATTTTAAAAATTACTATGAATTGGTTCAAGCTCCAATAACAATTATTCCGAACGATGACAACGACACCATTGCGACACAGCTGCCCGCCAATGGAGAAAAAAAATGTAAGATCAAGATCAGCCATCAAAACGCAACCATCGAAGTAATGTTCACAAATTCAGTTCATATTTGTTTATATTTATTTGACAATGTGCAACAGCGCTTCCACTAATGTGAGCACGCTTCCTTGGTTGAGCGATGCTTGCTTGCGGGTTAAAAATAAGTCTCAACTTGACGGTTGACCGTAAGGAGGTGTTAAAACTTAGAAATTCAACTGAGGATGCATTGTTTATTTGACTGTTTGGCTTGTTTTTACAAACATTATTTGATCACCAAGCCGAAACACGAAGTGCAAGTTGTGGTCATGAAATTTTATAAACGTTGCCGAAAACATTCAATGAAACGTTTTATAACGTTTATAATTTTTGGCTGAGGTGACGAATGAATGAATAAAAGATTGAATGACTGAATGAATGAAGATTGAATTAAAAAATAAAGTTATTAATAATGTTAGATAAAAGATTGGATTCAAAAATAATGTTAATAATGATGTAAGATAAAAGATTGGATTCAAAAATAATGTTAATATTATGTCAGGTAAAACCGACGACTCCTGGCTCAGTGAAATTCTATCTCTCAAAAGACAATTATCCAAATTCAGCAAACTTCGAGTACAAAGCTGAAGGGACAGATGAGAACCCTGCTGTACTCTTCCTCAACAATTCCTTCACCGTCCACATTTACCTCTACTGTCTGATAGAGGGTGACAAATCCAGGAACCTCACAATTATCATCGAGTCCAAACCTGGAAGTTTGTTTTTTGTTCGGTCTTATCGGTTTTTAATTATTGCATTTTTAAAGGTTATAATAACATTTATAGGAAAAATTTAATAAAATTGTGTAGAGTTTGGTTCTTGTTAATGTTCTCGTCAGATCACAACCCGTGCTACAAAGAGAACAAATGTATGAACGGTGGAACATGTCTGAACAAGCCTGAGAACCAATACGAATGTGCATGTACGCCTGATTACACTGGCGATCACTGCGAAAGTAAATGAAGCGTTCAATTTTTATTTCTCATAATTTAAATTTACATTAAATATAAAACATGTCCTCTTATAAATAAAAATTACGATAATTTTTGTTCATGCTGCCAACAGGAGAAAAAACAATATGCGACAAACTTTCCCCTTGTTTGAATGGAGGACAATGTAGGCCACTGAATGCTGATAGTTATGTGTGCACCTGTCCGTCGCCGTTCTACGGAAAGCATTGCGAACATAGAGGTGGCAACGCAAAATTATAAATTTCAAATTAAAATTTTAAACTGAATATATATAAATATTAAAATTATTTATAAAAAAGACATCTGCCAAGATAACAATCCTTGTTTGAACGGTGGTCAGTGTGTCGCAAATGTGGATGGGCAATATAAATGTCTTTGCCCCAAACCATACATCGGGGACAAATGTGAAATACTAGGTTAGAAAAAATTAATGTCAAACGTTTGTAAAAAAAATTTCGAAAACCATTTTAATATAAAATTAAATTTCGTTTTAAAAATTTTCTAATTGAAAAAAACGAGAAAACGTAACGTCTGTAGTTTTATCAACTCCCGCTTATATGAATACTATAGAGTCACTGTTGGCTATTTCAGGCACTGCGAGCCACGTTTTGGGATATCATATTACTTGCTGTCAAAGCGGGAATACTCATTTTGCAAAACGTAAAAAATACTTCTTTTACGTGCGACTCGATGTCTGTGCATGTGTGCAAGTGCATGCTATCATTTGGAGCCTCCTAAATTTAGAAAACCATAATCGAAAAGTAAGCAGCATCGAGTCCATCAGATTAGATTTCCTGGTTAGACAGAAAAAAAACATTCTAGCAAACAGAGAAACGTTTTTCAACCTCTAAAATCATGAAGGAACAAGAATATAATAATCTAAACCGTTGTTTATTATTATATTATTAATCAACATAACATTCGTTGAATTGATTTGATGAAAATTTCAATTTATTAGATGTTCCTACTGGCTTTAATTGTAAAGACAAAAATCCATGTACGGAAGAAAACATCAAGAAAGGTTTGTCTCTGTGTTTTTTTAATAAACGATTTGTAAAAATGCGTTTCCTCTTTTTTTATTTTTCAAATAAAAATAAACTTTGAGAATAATACAGCCTAAAAGATTTGAATATAAAAAAATGAATAAAAGTTGATAATAAAGAAAAATTATTGAAAATAATAACAATTTTCCTTATTTTAGGCAATATATTTTTCAGAAAATTTTTGTATATCTTCTTTTTTAACTATACTTTCAACATCTTCAATGATTTCTAGTTACTAGTAAAGTAACTCGCATTTTTATTTATCTTATCGTTTTAATACACATACTACTTTAAAATATGTATTAAGAATTTTAATGAAGCTTTTTCATTAAAACCATTATCAACATCGTTTTATTATTTTTAAATTATGTTAAACATTTTGAGCTAGATTTATTTTATAGTTTTTCAATTACCCAATTTAAAAATCCTCATCAACATGTCTAACTTGATAACCACACAGCTTAGAGTGTGAGCCTCAAATCAAGACGTAGTCGATCAAATTGTTAATTTATTTGTTTCTGAAAAATTTTATTAAAAAATTTTTTTGAAAATTTAATTTTAGCTATTTATAATATTTCCAACACAGAAAAGTTTTATTTCCCACATGAAATTGCTGGAAAATTTGTGCAGTGCAGTCAATGGAAGCAGTGCTTTGAGATGAGTTGCCCACCTGGACTTGTCTGGGTGGTGGAAAAGAACACATGTGCCTAATCAATCGCACGCATGAAAAAACTTCAAATTATTTTTTTTAATTTATTTAGTCAAATTAATAAATAAATTTGACAACATAAACTTCAAAATTAATTTGTTTTTGCTCAAACTTTTTCTTAATTGTTTAATGAATTTATAACGTTTGCAAAAAAAAAAACAGTTTACTAAAAGTAGCATGCGTTTGTTGTTCTTTAATAAAAGGTATTTCTAACATGTTGATTGATTAGTAAATGTCCCAAGAACATCGTGTATTCGTTTTAAATCTACGGCAATAACTTTTTATAACGTTCAGCAATCATAAATCTTTGTATTGTAATTCAACATTGCGAAAACATTGGCGTCTCATTTGATAATATTATTATTAATAGTACGATGATGACCTCTCTACTGTTGACAGCTATTCTGACTCTCATCCAGCCTTTTATAAGATTGTCTATTGTTTGGTCAGGGACACTGTGGACAGGCATACTCCAAAAGTTGAAATTCAAGCGTAGCTTCAATCTTTTATTGTGTGCTTTTTCCTGCACCGTTACCACAAAACAATGCAAGCTGTCTGGCAGATTTTAATGCTACATAGGTTTTTATCTCAAATGTGACATAATTTTAGTTGAATTCGCTTTATTCCACCAGTTAAACAAAATGTAACGATAGCACCGATTGCTCAATAATCTGTTTATCCCAATCTTAAGTTTCAACATTGTGACGGTCGAAGGCAGAATCTGGGAAGCCGTGGAAATAATGAAAAAATTTAAGGTGTTCAAGAAATTTTATGAAAAGTCAAAAATGACACTAGATTGAACCAAAGTTTAAACGATTCCTTCGATCGAGTGAATGAATAACATTGAGTGATAGGTTGAATGGTGGTCACCAAGAATTTTTTTTTATAAAAATTAGAATGTATGTTTTAAACAAAGTGTTTTGCTTTTTACATCAGTTTTCTTTAATTATGGTATTTCTAACAGGTAAATCTCCAATATTATCTCTTTCCCGGTATAAACTACTTCGAAGAAGGCAGCATTGGCGTTAAGCATTCATTACCTATATACATGGGTAGGTACATGGAGTTTTAAAATAATGATATGCGAAGTAGCCCAAATACCTTAAAGATAACATGGTGAAGCAAGCGCTTCTAGATCAACGTTCAGCTCTCATTGTCATTTATTTGTGTTCTGTTCACATAGTGGAATTTTTTCGTTGAAATTTTTAACATTAATATCAATAATTTGTGTCCTTGATATCAATAACATTTATATGTTATTGATATCGATCTAGCTTGATTTGACCCATCATAATATTTTCTTTTGTACTCTAACTATTATTGTAAGTTTGCTTTATTGAATTATTACATAACTTCGATCAATATGCTCATTTAATGTTCGTTCGTTTTCATTGAATTCATTTATTTTATACGAATGTTGTGAATACTCTGTCTAAAAATTCGCTTAAGTTAATTACTTTCCTCATGTACAGTTAATGTTAACACGGTGGCCTTTACAAGTTTTTTCTTATTTGGTCTTAGAAATTAATTTAATGGCTCTCTTCTTTATTTTCATTAGTTTGCAGTAATTTGGTTTTGAATTAATTTTGAATAATAAAAGCCCAAGACTTGGACCTTACTATTTTCTTATCTTATTTCTTCTCGTTGAGTCTGGGTCAGCCTGTTTGGTTGAAATAAGTGTATGACAATTTCTAAGTATTCTAAGCATAAGATGATGATGGCAAATGCCAACCATTGAATTATATATAAGAATGGCTTTATAGTGTTGACCTTCATCTCAAGGTCAGGAAACTTGGAAGCAAACTTTTTTAGCACCAAATTGTCAATGGGTTTTTCCGTTTTCCAATCTATATTTAGCTTCTTCCCTGTAAATGTGCCACCGGCGGCATTCTTGTAAACGTTTTTTGCTGCCAAAATCATTCTACGGCAGTTTTAATCGATTTTTAACTTAATAATTTAACTGAATTATGTAAAATTTTTGGAATCATTTATTATTTGATCCATTTTGATTTTATAAAGTTTATTTGTTTAAAAGTTTTAAAAATGTTACATTGTGCCAGGAGACACTAGGCCCAGACTAGTAGAAGAAAAGAGGCTTTGCTTTTTTGTATTTTTATTTAAAATTTTTGACTTTTTATTTTTTTAACTATCGTTAATTAATGTTCAAATATTTTTTATATTGTTTTTATATTATGGGTTTATTATTATTATTAGGATGCCCTTGTAAAATGGCTTTTTGTCATAAGAAATACAGAATACAAAGAGTTTCTTTATTTTAATTTATTGGGTATATATATATATATATTATATATATATATATATATATATTATATATATATATATATATATGATGAAAAATTTTAAATGCAGCTATTTACTTTCAAACTTAAATCATATTTGAACGTTTTGCTTAATGGATGCACATCTCATCAAGCAACAGCAAAGGCAATCAAAGTATTACAAGTCCAGAATCACAATGCTGCAGGCAACAATAAGAAAACTTATGAATGAATGTAATAAATTAAAAAATGAATTAGCTACATACAAAGGTTTTATGTTATGTAACCATAGCAAAATGAATTGAAATTTTGATTAATTTTTTGTTTTTTTTTGCTTCTAGATAAAAAACTCATACCATTTAAAAAGAGTTAACAAAGTATATAATGAATGTTACAAGACCTTTTATATGCAGCTGCATTTTCATGGTCCTCATGCATACCAATTTTTAAGAAAAAGTGGACTAACACTGCCTCACTCGAGAACATTGAACAAGTAAAATTTTGTTAATAATGATATTCTGTAAACTAATATTGCTATATAAAGAAATATGTACAGCAAATAAAATATTGCAAATGCTCTTTAATCCTTGATTCGATATCAATAAAGCCTCAAATAACGTATAAGAAAATTGGTAGGTTTTTTAAAATATATTTTGTTTGTAAAATTGTGAGTTTAAAATATAGCATATTTTGGTAGCATATGCTAGTTTATTCCTTGTGTATTTTATTTATTTCTTGATTTTTTTTTGTTTCCCATTTCACCATAAACATTTGTTTTCAATTTATTTAATTTTATTGATGTTAAATGTTAAGCATAAATTATCAAACGCGTTGTTTATTTGTGAAGATGACTTTATTGGATATGTTAACTATGGAGATGGGAATGAAGACATAGTTGCTTCAGAGATGTTGATTTTTTATGTTGTTAGTCTGAGAGAAGCTTGGAGGCATTCAATAGCTTATTTTTATACAAATAAGTTATTATCTCACAAGTTGAAAGATTTTATAGAGAAAGCCATTGATAAGTTACATAATGCTGGAGTTAGGGTAAACAACATTTGTTTTTCTTAAAGATATGTTAAAATTTTTATACACTATATTTATTTTTTAGGGTTGTTTCACTGGTAATGGATGGGTTGGCCACTAATGTTTCGGCATGTGGATTGCTTGGATGCTCTTTCACATTTCCAAACATGCAAACAAGTTTCTTGTCCCCAACAACTGGCCAGAAAATATATATCATATTTGATGCATGCAACATGCTGAAATTAATGAGGAATATGTTTCATTCTTATATGATATTTTATAATAATAATCCAATCAAATGGAATCATATCGTAAACTTAGTTAATTATCAGCAACAAATCAAAATGAAACTAAAAAATAAATTAACCAAAAATCGTGTAAATTTTGAAAAGCATAAGATGAAAGTTAAATATGCATCTTGAGTCTTTAGTTGCTCTGCGGCTAAATCATTGGAACTCTTAAACGGATTTTATGTTTTTTTCTGACATTTCTGAAACAATAGCTTTTGTGAAAAACATCAATGATCTTTTCCATATATTGAACAGCAAACTGATACTGGATAGAGAATGGAAGCAATACATTACAAAGAGCAACCTAACAGCCACTATAGATAAACTTTATGAAATGAAAGCCTACTTACTAAGTTTGAAAAATTTAGATGGTGTTACATTTACAAAACTCAAGGTTTTTTTTATATATCTCAATATCTGAACTAAAACTTAATTACAAATAATTTCAGAAAAATGGCTTGGACAATTGACATATCCCTCAAAAGGAGTATTAAAAGTAAAATGATACATTTATTTATTTTCTGGTAAAAACAATAAATTTTAATGATTTTCAGATCTGCCAAGAATCAGAAAGATTATTAAAAATAAATAATTATTGTTTTAAGAAAAAACTTGTAATTGAAAGCAACATACTCCCACAATGTGTCAACGAAGATTTATTTAACATGGAAAATCATTTCAATGATGTACAGAATGCAAACCACTATTATGAATTAATAAAAAAAATCATCATATACAACATTAAGACGTTTTAACTTAACTAAAGGGTTTTCTATCAACATGCAGTTTTAATAAAAGTAAATTAAATAATAAAATGCAACGAAAATTATACTATTTAAATTTATTAAATCAATTGTTTTATTGAATTTGTACAGTGCTTCTAATAGATTACATCAGAAGCAAATTCTACAACCTTAGTTTTATCTTTATATATATATATATATATATATATATTT